GAATGACCCGGCTTTCGGGTCTTTGCAGGGGAAAATCAAGCATTTCAGCATGGGGCCATAGTCACAGGGCAGGAGGCTGGCAATCAGTCTTCTCCAATTCCCAGTGGTGAGGCTGGTTCCGCCACAAAAAGGTTTATATTTTGCAATACTAGTCCCTGGGGTGCGGTCTTTCCTTTTTTTTGTAAAATTTTTGCCAATCCTGCACCGGGCTTTTCTGGTTGTAATCAGGAGTGCATGTTTTTGGAATACTTACATTTCCCACAGAAACATCACATTTGCAATGGTGTTACTACTGTAAGGGGATTCTAGCTAGGCAAAAGAGTTCAGCAAAGAATCACCAGAATTCTACCCTAAAACATGGATTCCTTGGAGTTTATGTCTGCTGTATACTACAGCTTTGAAACACAACACAGGAAGAGATGCAAAGCCAGTTAACCACTCACGGACAGCCGTATTGTTGTTAATGCAACACATCAGTAGTGATGTCCCGAACGGTTCGCTGGCGAATAGTTCCCGGCGAACATAGCGTGTTCGCGTTCGCGACGGATGGCGAACATATGCGATGTTCGGTCCGCCCCCTATTGATTTACTAATACTAAGTAAAAATTACTTAGTATTAGTAAATTGTGCCCCTACTCGCAATACCGCGAGTAGGGGCATGTCTATTAAACAGTGAGCACTGTTTAAAAAAAAGGGTCCCCCCCCGGTGGGGGCCCTAAATACTAATAGGGGGGGACCTATTGTCCTCCCCCCGGCCCCCACCCGTGAGCGGTGGGTGGGGGCCCTAAAAATAACAATAAGGGGGGGACCTATTGTCCCCCCCCGGCCCCCACCCCTGAGCCCCCACCCCTGAGCAGTGGGTGGGGGCCCTAAAATGAACAATAAGGGGGGGACCTATTGTCCCCTGCGCGGCGGGTGGGGGCAATATTGATAATGAGGGGGGGACCTACTGCCCCCCTTGCCCCCACCCCTGCGCGGTGGGTAGGGGCCATATTGATAATGAGGGGGGGACCATACTGCCCCCCGGCCCCCACCCCTGGGTGGCGGGTGGGGGCCATAAAGATAATGAGGGGGGGGACCTACTGTCCTCCCCCCGGCCCCCACCCCTGGGCTGTGGGTGGGGGCCCTAAGTAAATTCCCCCCCCCAAGGTGACTAGGGGTCCCCAAGCCCCTAGTCACCCTCCCCAAATAAAAAGTCCCTACCTAACACCCTCACCCTAAAAATTAGTGAGGGGGGAATAAAATAACTAACCTGTAAAATAAAATTAAACTTACCATTCGACGTCTTCTTTTTTCTCAAATCTTCATTTTTCAGCCCCAAAAAAGGCCAAATAAAAAACCAACATAACCGTCAAACTAAAATAAAAATAAAAATCCTGAGCGCAAAAAAAAAACCAGACGAAAAAGAAAAAACCCGAGTTCAAAAAAATAATCCATCTTCACCCATGGAGGGCTCCGCGCAGACTGAGCTCCGCAGGGTGGGGGAAGGCTTATAAAGCCTTGCCCCACCCTGCAATAAGAACACTCTGATTGGTGGGTTTAAGCCAATCAGAGTGCTCTTTGTCATTTTACACAGCGTGGGAAAATTCCAAAGAACTTTCCCACGCTGTGTAAAATGACACAAAGCACTGTGATTGGATGAACTTTCCCACGCTGTGTAAAATGACAGAGCACTGTGATTGGATGGCTTTCAAGCCATTCAATCACAGTACTCTGTGTCATTTTACACAGCGTGGGAAAGTTCAATTTTCCCACGCTGTGTAAAATGACACAGAGCCCTGTGATTGGATGGCTTTCAAGCCATCCAATCACAGTACTCTGTGTCATTTTACACAGCGTGGGAAAGTTAAATTTTCCCACGCTGTGTAAAATGACACAGAGCACTGTGATTGGATGGCTTTCAAGCCATCCAATCACAGTGCTCTGTGTCATTTTACACCGCGTGGGAAAGTTCTTTTGAAATTTTCCCACGCTGTGTAAAATGACACAGAGCACTGTGATTGGATGAATTTCAAGCCATCCAATCACAGTGCTCTGTGTCATTTTACACAGCGTGGGACAATTTGCCTTTGTGTAAAACAAACCGCAGGGGCACTGTGATTGGATGGCGCCAAGCCATTAGTCACAGTGCTATGTCGACTGGCGATGAGCACTACTTGTAAAATGACACAGAGCACTGTGATTAATCCGCGGTGCTCTGTCATTACCTAGCGATGAAGAAAAAAGTGCTGGAATTTTCCCGCGTAGCAAAATGACGAAGAGCCTGATTGGCTTAAACCCGCAATCAAGTGTTCTTAATGAGTATTGAAGAGGCGGGCAAAGGCTTCTCATGCCCACCTGCAAGCCTCAGTCTCTTGTGAGCCCTCCATGGATGAAGATGGATTATTTTTGCGCTCTGGTTTTTTCTTTTTCGTCAGGTTTTTTTTTGCGCTCGGGATTTTTTTTTTTTTTTAGTTCGACGGTTATGATGGTTTTTTTATTTGGCATTTTTTGGGGCTGAAAAATGAAGATTTGAGAAAAAAGAAGACATCTAATGGTAAGTTTACTTTTATTTTACAGGTTAGTTATTTTATTCCCCCCTCACTATTTTTTAGGGTGAGGTGGGTAGGTAGGGACTTTTTATTTGGTGGGGGGGGTGGGTGACTAGGGGTTTGGGGACCCCTAGTCACCTTGGGGGGGAATTTACTTAGGGCCCCCACCCACAGCCCAGGGGTGGGGGCCGGGGGGGGAGGACAGTAGGTCCCCCCCCTCATTATCTTTATGGCCCTCACCCGCCGCCCAGGGGTGGGGGCCGGAGGTGGGGTGGACAGTAGGTCCCCCCCATTATCAATATGGCCCCCACCCGCCGCGCAGGGGTGGGGGCCGGGGGGGCAGTAGGTCCCCCCCTCATTATCAATATGGCCTCCACCCGCCGCGCATGGGTGGGGGCCGGGGGCAGTAGGTCCCACCCCTCATTATCAATATGGCCCCCACCCGCCGCACAGGGGTGGGGGCCGGGGGGACACTAGTTCCCCCCCTCATTATCAATTAGGCCCCCACCCACCGCTCAGGGGTGGGGGCCGGGGAGGTGGACAATAGGTCCCCCCTTATTGTTATTAGGGCCACCACCCACCGCTCAAAATGTTTGATGGCAGCCCTGACTATTAGTATTATATGCCTTGTGACTGTTATCTGTGTACATTGTAAGTATTACTTTCATATTATGTATGCATATATGTAATACATTTTTAGAGAGAGAGAATATATCTGTACATCTCACCTCCACCCCCACCTATTCCTCTTTCCCTACAGAAAAGTATGTTTGTGGATTCTCAACTTCCTTTGCATTCCTTCTTTCTCCAGATCCAGATCTGAACCCTAATACCCATCAGCAAAAGCAAACATTTCCAAAATGCTACAATTTACTGTGATTTGCACAAGTATTGCCAACTTTATCAAACATTATTAATTGTTTTCTACTTATAATTATATGAATGTTAACTGTGTGTTGGTGTTTTTATGCATTTGCAACAGTTCAAAGAAATTTTCATAAACTAATAATGGACTTGTATAGACATAGATAGTGACTATTGACCGTGCATATGGACTGTGCGATCAGCAGTTGCAATGTACATAGGTATATGTTTCAATGAAAGGGAAGGATTAAAGTCAAAATTATGAGCACAATTCACCTGTATAAATTACAATCCCCGCTAGTCCCAATGTAACACATCAAAAAATAACAGAATCGGGTCAGTGGCACACTATGGCTAGAGCAAAATCTAAGATACTAGTGAATGGCGAATTAAAATAGCTACATTTATAGCCAATTACTTAAGATGCTATTTACTAATTACCAAAAACTGATGACAAATAATAACTATTTGGCTAATCCATTCTTCTCTTATCTAAACAGATACATTATCTTTAGCAGCTATTGTCCTTTTCAACCAAAACTAAACAGCAATTAGTAAATAGCCTGAAAATGTTAATGTAACTAATTACTTACAAAACACAACATCTAGGCTGGCTTTTAGATTAAGGGTTATATTTAATTATCACACTAATCACTGCCAAGTGACCTGCTAACAGGATAACAATTTAAAGTGCTAGTAAAACACTTAGCTCTCTGCATGAAATTTTTTTCAACTTTCCAAGTCAATAATTGTTGATGGTGAATCACAAAACAGGAAAAAACTTTTTAATGCCGTAAATCTCGGAAAATGTTTTTTTATTTAACCTATTCCCTACCAATTCTTCTGGGATAGCTACAGTGTCAAGGTCATAGAATGTCTTTGCCAAAGCTAACGGCAGTGTTTCAGTTCTTTTTAAAGGCTTAATTTTGTCATTATAGACACTGATCAAAGGATATATCTGGTAGTGCTAAGTGATGCATTTTTAGGCATCCAGAAGTCTAGATTATTCTTTTTCTTCTTTGTCTTGTCTTGCTAGTGCTTCAATTAAGTGTTATACATATTCAGAATGTATTCATTTTCACATATGACATTATACTGGAGATTTCCCTACTTATGGTTGACAGTTTATTATTTAATTTAGGGACAGTGAGGAATATCTTTTTTTATATCTATTCCAAATTATATTTTTAGAGATAAAATAAAAAAAGATATGAAAGTATTTAATTGTAGAGGTATACAGTAAGAATAGCATGGAAACAGAAACATGCTATAAAAAAATTAAAAAAAGGTGGGCTTGGAGTTAATCACCAATCACTAATTACCTTATCAGACCAGACGCATGTCACCTTAGCTCCTGATGAATACAGCTTTTAAGCAAATTTCTTACATATCTTGGCCCCTGCAAGAGGCTTACTGAGTTACCAATGGCATCAGTACACCATGGGGAAGCATTCCTGAAAATCCTAAAGGCATATCAAGAGCCAAATTCAAGATATTGGCATGCTTCTATCACAGCCATGTAGTCCAAAATGGAGGGGTTGGGGCCCGACCCACCCCACGACTGTCTTTCGGCCTCAGATGGTGAGGACCTCGAGCTATCAAAAGCACCATCCGTTCAATGCAGGAGCAGGGCTCAGTCACAACCACGACCCGAACCTCCACTTGCTTTCAAAATTGATCTTACCTCAATGGTGACAGACCTCAAGGCCTTCTTTGACTCTGAGATGACAGTTCTGGGGGAAGACTTGGGTTCGCTGACAGGATGGATACGGGCTACAGAGGAAGATATCCATGACATACAAATCAAACAAGATTCAACAGCAGCACAATTACTAGAAGTTACCAACACATGTGCGTAGCTAGAGGACAACACCACCTGAAGGTGCGGGGGATTCCAGACACCATTAATTCAGCCGAACTGCAGCAATTCATATGGAGGTTGCTCTCCGCTACCTTACTACCTGAACAGGCAAGGGACCATCTTTACATGGACTCTACTGAATCCTGGGCCAGTCCAATACCAACACCCTGTCACCAAAGGATGTCATGTTGTGCTTCAAATCACGGCCTGATGAAGAAAATATTCCTGAAAGCAGTCAGGGACTCCACACCATATATCTTTGAGGAACACTCAGTGGCATGCATCACTGAAGGGGGCCACTTCACACCTGCGGACAGCTGCCATCACCTACAGATGGGGATACCCAAGACAACCTATAGTTGAAAAAGATGGCCAACGCTATAGACTGACATCTCCATCGAAGCGGACATGTTACTGCATTCACTGGGACTCTCTGCTCCTGCCACCACTAATGGCTCAACAGATCGACACATCAGTGGAACATGGCTAATGTGATGGTCTTCACTAGAGTTGAGCGGACACCTTGATGTTCGGGTCTGAAGTCAATAGGGACCCGAACTTTTGGGCACTAAAATGCCTCTAAAATAGTCCTGGAAAGGGCTAGAAGGCTGCAAAAGGAAGTAAAATGGGGGTAAGAGTAGGACAAGTGCCCTACAAACAAATGTAGATAGGGAAATCACTTAAAATAACATAAAGATAAAAAGTACAGCTGAGCCATAAAATAGCACTAGATGGAATCTTTGATTTTAGCTTTGGGAGAACATAAATCAAAATCTGAAGCATGGCTGTCAGGAGGATCACCAGAATTATCCATTTGAGAGAGGGTTGGAGTGCAAGGTATTCTCTTTCATTGTTCAAACTGAGCTCAACTCCTGATGCATGGAGAAAAGGCCTTCACAAGCCTCTGCTATTGTGTACATAGTTTATACTAAGTGAACCATAGGTTGAGGAGGCGGTGACCGTGGCGGTGTAGGTGGAAGCAGCGGTGGAGGAGGAGGAGGAGGTAGCCAACAATGTTTTTTCATATATATATATATATATTTTATTTTTTATTTTTTTTTTTAATCGGGGGAGCCCCCAAAATATTGGGACATTTAAAAAAAGAAAACTCTGTTCCGCAGAGCGACTGACCTGTGCGTACTGCAGCTGAAACGCCACTATCGCCTGTTGCTGCTCGCACAGTCTCATGAGGTGGTGAGCGGGAAGGCCGAAGTTATGCTGCAGCGCAGACAGACGAGCAGCAGCAGGGTGAGAATGCCGAATGTGCACACAGCTGCTGCAGTGAATGTCACATCCTGTTCCAAGTTGCGGATCAGTCTGATGATGGCTTCTGGTATCCAGTACTCTTTTTACTGAAGCTGCATCAGGGTCCTGGTATGTGGCCGGACAAACGCTGGTGCTCAACACCAGGGAGCATGCGGTTACCCTCCACCAGACCCTGCTAATCCATTCTACACTGTGACTCCTAACTTCAACATCAGGCATACTAGGTCCCGGTCGTCCGACCGCCGCCCAGATAGAGTCTGGTTCCCAATCACCGGACTGCGAAACTGCGAATGGATCGTTAAATCTGTTATGGTTCCTTTTATCGCTCCATCTGTTACTTGGATAACTGTGGGAATTCTAAAGATAATACATGCCAACGAGCGCTAGGAGACGGCCGCTCCGCTTTTGCACCCTGCTCCCTCTTATGCTGTGCTGGTGCCTCTGTGGAACCAGCGCCTCTTTCTCCAAACTGCACACGTCACTCGCATGACCTTCATTCCATGTGGGGTCTAGAACCTCATCATCCTCCACATCATCTTCCACCCACTCCTCAACCCTGCCCTCCTTGCCGGTCTGCAAAATTGCAGAAAGCCACAGCGGTTGGCACCTGTGTTTTTCCAACATGTAAAGTCTGCAAAGGACATATGGAAATTGTTTAGAATTGTATCCAGGCAACAGTCTTCCCTATAAACTGACCTCTAAGTTTGACTTGTGAGGGTATTGCACCCGAATTACAATATTGTTATATTGGTATTTGACAGCTCTATTTGACTGTCAGATAAGAACTGTAGCCGCAAATGTACTATTTAGCACCCCCAAAAAAATTAATTGGTCAAACTGTTCTGCAACAACAGTATTTGATGGTTCTATTTGACTGTCAGATATGAAGTGCACACCCCAAATTTACTTTTTATCACCCAAAACAATTAGAATTTTTCAAAGTGCGCTAAAAGCACAGTATTTGACGGTTCTATTTGACTCTCAGATATGAAGTGCACCGCAGGCGGCAATTGTACTATTTAGCAGCCAAAAAATTTTAATGTTTAAAACTGCTATGTGACAGCACTATTTGACGGTTCTATTTGACTCTCAGATATGAAGAGCACGCCCCAAATGTACTTCTTGCGAGCGAAAAAATGGGAATTTGTCAAAGTGCGCTGTAAACACAGTATTTGACTCTTCTATTTGACTCTCAGATATGAAGTGCAGGCATCAAATTTACTTTTTAGCACCTAAAGAATTAGAATTTTTAAAACTGCAATGTAAGCACAATATTTGATGGTTCTATTTGACTCTCAGATATGAAGAGCATGCCCCAAATTTACTATTTAGCAGATTAGCACACAGAAAATAAGAATGTTTACAATTGCTCTGTAACCGCAGTATTTGACGCTTCTATTTGACTCTCAGATATGAAGAGCATGCCCCAAATTTACTATTTAGCAGATTAGCACCCAGAAAATAAGAATGTTTACATTTGCGCTATAACCACAGTATTTCACGCTTCTATTTGACTCTCCGATATGAAGTGCAACCCACTAATGTACTTTTTAGCACCCAAAATTTTTTAGCACCCACTAATGTACTAGTTTGCAGAATTCTTTCTTAATCTGTCCCTGAAAACGGCAGCATCATCTCCCTACACTAATAAGAGCTCATTTGCGTGCGGCGCTACTCAACTCCAGTTTATATATAGAGCCTGGGTCACATGCTGCACTGGCCAATCACAGCCATGCCATTAGTAGGCATGGCTGTGATGACTTCTAAGGGCACACAAGTCAAACTCTTGTCTTAAATCGCCGAACACCGAACTCAAACCCGAACATAAAGTGATATGTCCGTGTTCGGGTCCTTGGTCCAAAAATCGTAATGTTCGGTACGAACCCGAACTTTACAGTCTGGGTTCACTCAACTCTAGTCTTCACTCCATCAGGTTCTCTGGCCCTGTGTTGAAACTACCTAAAAGGGCACGTAGTTCACCACTGCTACTTTATTTTATTTCTTTTTTTCCTCTTTATTTTCTAGTAAATTTACCTTGTTTACTGCTCTGTAATTTCCAGACGATTTTAAGATGTAAACTTCACAGCTCATAATGTAGTTCACATAATTGGTTTCTTCACTACCTTATGTAAGTAGCGTCCAGTCAACCCCTGACGTGCTCTCTGATTCCTACCCCCCTTTAAGCTCCAGGGATATGGAGCTTCTTATTCCTCAGATAAGCCACTCACACTTCTTTTTGATGTTGCCACCTGCACATAGGTGCTTGCAAACCATCTAATCATCCCCTTAGGTTATCTTATCTTAATAATTTGCCTTGGCTTCATACACAAATCTGTTGCTGTAATATCTAATATGCTCACATGGTTCTGCTTATGAATGATGGCTTAACCTCTGTATGCAACATGACCCATATAGCCATAGTACCACTCTAAAAGGCCCTGAAGCAGATACTGGTCAAATCTGTTTTTGGTACAACTGTTGAAGCGCCAGCTATACCTATGTATAAGTTCTCGTTATCATGTGTTATCTTCTCTTTTAAAATTGTGCTTATATGTCAATGACATGCTCATGTTTTACTATATTTGACATTGTGATTGCTCTTGCTGTTGTGCCACTGCAAGCCTATCTGTTATTATAGAGGGTAAGACAAATAAAGGTTGAGCCAAAACAGACTATAGTACAGCTAATGGTAAACAAAGTCCAGAATATGGTGGTAAATCTTAAGAAAAACCTAAAGAGAGAAATGATGGTGCAATACGTCTAGTACAGATGGATAAATAATTGGACAACAGGGTCTATTGTAGTCCTACTCACAAGTAGTAGAGCTTGAACCAGCTCTAGTATGAACGCTTATAGGATACGTGGATAGTGGTAAGTATCGTATCAATATGTAGACCATAGAGAGGGTAAGAGAGAAGCGAGACAACTGATAGTGCTCGCTGTAAAAATAGATCTTAGGAGTATAAGTAATAAAATGTGTACTCACTTGTGCTTGAGCAGGTGGACTGCTCAATGACTCAGGCATGAGTGGTATAATCCCCACCTAGGATTTCTTTGGAGTAATACTCAGCAGAAAAAAATAAAATCAGGATACCAAGCAGCAATAGTAAGAATAAAAAATACAAATATATAAAAAGTAAAATGGCACAATCAAAGTATGTTAAATGTAGCCAAAATACCTTTATTGGAATATAGAATAAAATTATAAAATATCCACAACATGTTTCACCTATGAGGACTTTCTCAAGTGGAGACAAAAAAGACATACTTAGTAAGGTGGAGTTTATGTAGGGGGACTGATTTGTAAACAGTTAAAGATTTGGTGCCCAAATGACATCATAGAAGACAATTGACATTTTTAAATTATAATAAAAATTATGCATATACAAAGAATACAATACAGGGCATTGATCCCTAAAATGTGGCATTAAAATTAACGTTATAAATGTGTTAAAAATGTTATTTTAGGTGGTCACGTGATCGGCAGCCATATTTAAAACTGGGCCGTACCTCGTGACATACCGCTAGGTGTATTGGGAAATGTAGTTGAGTAAGGAGGTGTGATTTGTGGCCATATGGGCCGGGCTGGAGGGGAGGTGTAAAATAATTTAGCTACGTGTGAGGGGGCTTGGTTTTTGGCCGTGGGGCAAGGTTAGCAGGGGAATAGGATTCAGCAGATCGTGCTGTGAAGACTGAAGGAAATGATTCCAT